GGGGGGGGGGGGTCAGCACGCACGCTTGTTGTTGCCGGTACTTCTCCTTTTCCTCCGCGACAAGACGGAGCCCGGCGTTTGTGCTGTCCTGGTTCTCGGTCTCGCGCCTAGACCGTTCCTCGTACGCCTGATTCGCCCTTCGTCGGTGCTCCTCCTGGTGGGGGGGTTAAGCGTAGTGCGGGGGGGTACTCGTGTTTCGCATGCCCTAGTTGTCAGACCATGGACCACGCGTCCTCGAGAGCATTGTTCCTGCAGGACCGATCACCGAGGGCCAATCGTTCCTTTCTACTTTGCCAAGGTAGGCTCAAAAAATGTTGTACAGAAGGAGGCGGCTGGAAAAGTGCCGGTGTAACGCGAGACAGCACGACACAGCCAGACGCCTGGGTGGGAAACTGTGTTCGATGCTCGGCAGCCAAACAACATGTTCCGAACACTCGGACATTTGCCGTCTGCAAAACAACAGCAGGGTCGATCACCTTTCACAGGCTCGGGGATGAAAAAAAAAAAAGTTTTTGGAGCCAACCATTCGTAGGGCTTGCCAAACCCAACACGGACAAGAACCATATTTTTTAACGAAAACAACAATACATACTGTGATGCATGACTCAACCACGCCGATTGCAAGTGCGTTGTCATAGTCAGATGGCAGGTGAAAAACCGACAAAGTTCCTAGTCGACAGCTGAGACGCGCTTTCTCATCGCTCGCCAAGTTGTTGCCACATCAACAACCAGTCTGACTTCTATCCAGCATCTCCTCCATACGTCTGTCATGACGTACTTGTAATATATATCTCCGGGTTCTCGACGGAACAATGGACACGCAGAAAGGCATAACAACGCAAAAGGATGGCACACACACAGCGGATAGGAAATTCAATGCCTACAACGTTACCACCACACTTGCCGCCGGGTCGAGCACGGGCTGTGCGGCAGAGGCCTCTGTCCCTCCGACCGCCGGCACAGTTTGATCCGTAGTGTCAGCAGCAGCAGCATGTTCGCCTGGAGGGGGAGCTGTGCAACCTCCGGCAGCTTCAGCAGAATCTTCGTCAGGAGGAGGAGCTGTGCAACTTTCGGCAGCAGCAGCAGTAACATCATCATCATCCTCGTCGGAAGGAGGCGCGGTGCAACTTCCGGCCGAAGCCTTAGCATCTCCATCTTCATCAGGAGGAGGAGCACTGCAGCTACCGAAAGCCCCCGCACCGCCACTGCTGTCTTCATCAGAAGCGGGAGGGGGAGCACTGCACCTCACAGCCTGCGTGTTGACCTGCCCCACCTCCGCTCCCTCTTCCCGACGGTGTTGCGGAACAGAGTCGGTCCCCGCCTCCAGTGTTTTCTGCTGGGAATTCTTCTTCATTGCCGCTTTTCTGTCTCTATTGGCGGCCATCATTCTCTCACTGCGATGTGCGTCAAAGGATACAGGGATTTTGCAGCCGACGAGGCCGGGGGGCGGGGTCTCGAGAGGTCATCAGCTCGTACGCGTTGTCGCACCACCTGCTGCTGCTGCTGCTGCTGCCGTAACAAATTGCACCAATCAATCTCTTTTCACCACACCAAATAATGGAAGATGCCGTCCGTGGTGCCTCTGCGTGTCTCAATTGGGCGCTGGCTGCACCAAGTGGCCAAGCAGGATAAGCCAAGGAGACCAGCACCAGCAGTGTTGGAACTGTCTCGTATAGACCTCGAAGTAACCATTCGATTGCGGCATCCTCCTTGTCGTGGAGTACAATCGGGTGTGGTGTGGTATCTACGGTGCACGACCGTAGTACTGCTGTACAAGGTGACAAGGCGGTGTGGCAAACCTGCCGTAGTCGACAAACTAATACTAAAACAAGTACAATACGATCCCCTATACTAAACCCCATACACTTGGGGGCCACGCAGACTCACGCCTGGCGGTGACGAAACGCCTCTTTCTCCTCCCGGGCGACGCGGTGGGCAGCGTTGTCGCCTTCGTGCCTTCCGCGGGCACGTCGCGCCGTTTCACGGTACGCCTCTTGGGCACGGCGCTGTATCTCCTCCGCTGTTGCGGCTCCCGCTGCTGTTGCTACATGTTCGTGCTGCCATCACGGAAAGGTCAACAGTTTTTCGCAACGGGGTATGGGTGAATCACGTTCAGCTGTGTTGATGGCTTTGGTCGGCACGTTGTTGTGGGTGAGAAAGTTTCTCTTTCTGCTACCTCCTACTGGATGTTCCAACATTCCAAACACACACAGAGAGAGAGAGAGAGAGAGAGAGAGACACACACAGAGACAGAGACAGAGACAGAGACAGAGACAGAGACAGAGACAAGGTTCAACAGTACTTGGCTGGTACAGCAAAAAATATGCCTAGTTGTAGAAGAAGAAATCGATGCCCGTGTTACGGCTGGGGTTGGGGTGGTGCTCGATTACCGTATCAGTAGCCAAGCACGTGACGAGGCAGCTCACGAGGAAAGCACGGCTTTTGGGGCCCAGATGCTTTGACAAACAACGGTGACGACAACAACGGCTAGTTACCTGTGAGGGGATGCGTTCCCTCGGCTCCGCCGCCTGAGCAAACGCTGAGGTGCGGGCGGTAACGAAAGGCCCCCTTCTCTTCTCGAACGGCATGATCACGAGGAAGTAGGTTGCGAAGAAGGTCGCCACCACCTGCGGGGGGGGAGGGGACGCCTGTTTTCTTCTTCTCCTTCGCAACTCTCACCATCACTGACATAGACAATCCGGAAACGAGACGAAAGGGTCGCTACGGGTGCGGTAAGCGATTATTTGTCGCTCTTCTCCGCTCATAAAATATGAAACCTCAAGTGCGAAGTCAAGCCGCCTGCCTAATCGTGTAGATCCACCTTCCACAAGCAAACAACCAATGGGGCGGGAGGGGGGTAGGAGACGGACGAGACGGCGAGGGAAGAATAGCAAACGAGAAGAGACAGACCGAGTGGCGCGATACATGCCGGATTGAATATTTTTTAGCCAATTCCCCCACCCCCCCCAACGCGCGCCCCCCTGGTGTTTGTCGTGGGGGTTGGGTTTTCGTCGCTTGGCAACGACGTTGTAAAACGAGCCCCCCCCCCGGCTGACCCAGGAAACTATAGGGGGATCACACTGTTGAACACAGTAGGAAAAGTGTTCTGTAAGCTGCTGAACGATAGGATAGTGGGAGTATTGGAGAAGGAACATAGCATTAGTGAGGGCCAGGCAGGTTTCCGCAAGAAGAGGGGGT